AWATATATATATATATATATATATATATATATATATATTACGAAAATAGTGGGGCAAGACACCTATGGTTCCTTGGGATGCATATAGTGGAACCGCCATATAGTCGAACAGTTTTTAATCAGGTCAATGGTTTTTTACCAATTCCTGGATTTTAATAGAACTGGATCCAGAGTCATGGCTGGGTGACAGTTCAACAGGTTGGGTCAACAACCATTTAAAGCACTGGTTTTCATAAAATCGCTATCTTCTTCTCAGATTATCTTATATATTCCCTACTAAATGATAATTTTGGAGAAATGTAAGGTATTTTAAAATAAAAAACAAATTTTCTAGTATAAAAATTATAAGGTTTGTAAAACACGATGTTGAATAATCAAATGAATACAAATATGTTTTTGGTTTTAGTTTTGAAAACAAAAAACATATACACAATCAAGAACATGTTTCTTATGTTTTCGTTTTAAGAAATAATCTGTTTTCAAACAAGACCGTTTTGATTTGCTTTTAGGGCTGGCAACAAGAAAAACAATTCACTTTAACACCCCTTTAGTTAGGAAGAGATATAGAGTTGGAATCAATTACAGCAAAACTTTGCAAGTGGATTTGGGTAAACCCATGTTTTTGGATAAAAGTCATTCTATATAAATGAAGGCTCATATTTTTCAGGGCCTTTGTTGAAGACTTGAAGCAGAGGCTAATGGCTAGGTGCTGAAAAAAATTGTGTTTGTTGAAGCTGATAGAGAAATTAAGTGAGGTCGAGTGGATAACTTGGTAGCCTTGAAATTGATGATAAGGGAGTACTACCCTTATAATGGAAGATTGAGAAAAATCAGTCTAAATATTAGGGGTAGTGTTTGGTATCACTATTGTTTCTATCTATCTGAAGCATCTTGGGTTTATCAATATAAATTGGCGTACAGTTGTTATTTGAGGCTATTTATAGTTAAAATATGCATACCTTATAAATGCACATCCATCAATTTAGGCCAGTATAAGAGGGAAGACAGAGCTTTTTGGGATCAATGCTTCCTTTTTTTTCCGTTAAGTTTGCTTATTTCATTACAAAGAAGTTGCAAGATTCTAGATAGATTTCTGACAGCAGGAGAGAAAAGGAAGAGGTTTGGAACTGGAAGTGCTTGAAGGCCATATCTGTGGGTCCTAACTTGGTTTTGTGGTAAGGAGTTAGAGAGCGTTGTGCTGCATACTGTGTTGCTTTATGACCATGCAAGATGCTCGATTTAATGAAAACACAATAAATTCTTCCAATAGCTTTGCCAACACCAACAGGTAGGGTTAAGAAATGTAGTAGAAACAACATTCTTTGCCTTTGTTATGGAACATATATGCAAATCCGGAAACAATATATACCATACTTGATGATTGTAAATCCTGATCCTAATTTACCTAATCAGTCAGTAATCTCTTCTGTTTTCAGGCAGCTAGCTGCTAGAGGCAGGGATAAGGGTGACGATGACGTCGCTTTTCTGGTGAAGCTTGTGTTGTGCTGAACATGAACATTGATGGTTCTTTATTGATCAATAGGAAAGCAGGTTTTGGGGTGGGTGGGTGTGTGAGATTTCAAGTAGTTTTGGTGCTTGCCCTCAGTTTGCTCCAGTTATTGGGTCATTTTGGAAGGATTACTTATTGCCTCCGGTTCGAAGGTTGGTCATGTCGTGGTTGTCTGTGATTGCAATAAGCAAGGCCACGGCCCTATATTTCAATTCAAAATCGTTAACCCTGAACTGAATATAACTTTAATTTGCTGTGCATGAGTTGGGTGATTTGAAACTTGAAAGTATGTATGCTGTCGGACTGTCGGTTGATAGGTTTCTTCACTTCCAAGAACGACGATGGTTTTTCTTTCTTGGTATAGCTTGTCAGCTAGCAGCTGGAGCTGGTTGTCTTTTATGCTTGGTATAGGTTTCTTCACAACTACAGATTTACTCAGAACTCCTCCAAGTAAGAAATCTTTTACCAGAATAAGGAGACCCAAGAGACATTAACCAGCAAAACAAAACAAAACATTCTAATTTTGTTTTATTCGGGTATCAGATGTTCAAAGAAAATGTTACAAACCTTCTCTTTGCGAATTGCTTTTTTGGGAGTAGATCCTACATTAGCGAAATAAATAAAATGGAGACCGGATCCAGTAGGCACAGCTTTGTGAGCACAATCATCAATAAGCACCCGATAAATATTCTGATAATTGTCTTAGAAATTTGTTTTGAATATTTCAAGGGTAGACTGGGGGTATTCATAGGACAACTGTCCTAAAAATTTGCTTTGTTTCCACTTGTTTTTGAAATTGCCACATCAGCAAAACAAAAAAAAAGCACATCCTTGAACCAACTGTGTTGGTTTTGTTTAACAAAAACAAATTTTGAAGTAGATTATATTAAACCATAAATTCAACAACACTTTTGTCTTTAATTTTAAAACCAAAAACACATGTAACCAGTAGTTTTCTGTAATTTTGTTTTAGAAATCAATTTGTTTTCAAACCAGATGGTTTTGATATTTGTTTTTGGAACTTCCAATTCACATGGGAGAATACCCCCCTACATGGCAACTTATTTATAGATTTTAGATGTCACATTTTTTTTTTCAACTTCCCAAGTTAATCTCTCCAACAAGTGGGAAGTAAAATTTAAAAAACAAAGATCACAATGATACAGGTTTGGTTTCTGCATCGTGACAAAAATTCGTTATCAATTTACCAGAGCAATGACCACCCTACACAAAACAGGAAACTGCTATACTGGAGAGAGGAGGACAAGGCCCTAGTTATTGTCATATTTATCAACCAAACAAGTGGTGCAAAAACCTAATTTCAATTCCAAAACCAATATTTTATTGTTCTAAACTCAAAAATAAATTACATGCATCCATCTGCAAAAAAAAAAAATATATATGCTCCAAGCTCTCATCTAAAAAAGCTTAGAGAAATATAGGAAAATACAACAGTGAGACAACTACCAAGTCCAAACTATCAAGATAAAGAGTAGTAACCGTTAACCAAGATTCTCTATGCAGTGCCATTAGGTAGCTGAGCAGCTTTTGCAGGTGGATTGAGCTCATCCCAAGCTTCAATCCATGTGACCATGGCATCTGCTAGCTTGTCAAAGTAGGGATCTACTTCCCCAAGCTTAGCCTTGACCTGCTTGGAGAGTTCAACGTAACACATCTGAACAGTGGTGCATTCCTTTGGAAGGGTTACTGACTGGAAGAAAGGGATCAGCTCTTCTTGCCAATAAATACCCTTGTATTCCTTCTTAAGGTTCACGAATGGATTGCTTGCTTTGCTGTGCCAGATGTAGGGCAGACCAGTTTTGATACCCCATCCCAAGTGGTCAGATATCACCTACAAAATCACAAACCAGAGGGACAAAATTTCAACATTTTTCTATCAAGCAAAAAACCCATGCAAATGCTACTGATTATGCCAAAAATTTTCTTTGTATTTATGCCACATTCTGAGGAAATATGAGAAATTCATAACTAATTAGGGAGGAAAACAGACAATTCATACAAGAACAAAGATCTAGCTTCATAGTATCACAATACAACTCAGAAGAAAAAGAAGGAGCTGAGAGATGGATTTACCTTAATGCACCAGCCAGCCCACATATCGTCATAGCGCCCAATTGGTTGACCATCACCCATGAGTCCAAAGTACATTGCAGGACCAATCAGTTCCCGGTTGAATGCCAGATTCATACCACACATAGGGAACAGGGTGCCCTTAGGTACGGTCAGAACCGCATCGACATACCTGATAAAGATAAGAAAATGGTTAACAAACACCAAACATGGAAAGAGAGTACATATCAGGATCTTCTGCCACGCAAAACACCACCACACCTTGTGTTTCGCTCAAGAGGCTTGACAAGCTGGGTGGGAGCATCATAATCTGGGATGTTGAGCCAAAGGCCATGAGAAACAGCAGTTGGTACACCCTCACGTAGACTGAAAGGGTATCCACGGACAAAGTCTGCGCCTTCTCGGTAAGGATCATACAGAGTGTTGAAGAAAAAAGGAGTAGATGGGGAGAGAAGATTTTTTATGTGCTGCTCCAGTGCATTGATCTGTTTGCCAGATGGATCCTTAGCAACCTGTGTATATCCAAGCACAAACACTTAGATAATAAAAAAAGAAAAGAGAAAAAATAGATAAAATCCAAGCATAAAGATCCTGTAATTGATCCCTAGCATCTAAAGCATCCAAATTGTGCAATTTAAAGTGGAATTCCATAAAGCATCAATCTCTGTGCACTTTTAGGTGGCTTAAACTATAGGAATTGGTGCTTCATAAAGATCCTCTCCACAATAGGGGACCCTCTTTTAAATACTCGCAGCTGTACATTACATTATGAATCCAATAATGAATTTAAAATTGCATAACTAATGCTCTACAGCATCTGGAGAGGGGGAAAACTGTTCTTTCTAAAAGTGAAATCTCAAAACAGAAAAACAAACTAGTCTAGCCGAAAATGCAATTCGAATTGCTGCAGCCAAACCACTCAAAACACTCAAATCTGAGATCTTATCTTAAGACAACTACTATAGCCAAATGAATATAACACTTCACAGGGATGATAGAAAAGACAGGAAATCTCCAATAAAAGAGTACAGATCTTGGAGAATAACAAATAAGCAAAACCCAGAGAAGTTAAATGAAATCCCACTCCACAAAAATCCATTGTCAGCAGTTCCCAGATATTCAAAAAAGATATATGCATGTATACATGAACAAATTATTAAAACCAATCTTGAATGACACTACAGATAATGACATTTTCGCTTCAAAGCAGTTAGCACTAGGCAGTAACCTGATCTTTGCTGTTTAACTCCAAAGAAGGTTGCCAATTATTTATTTAGCTATTAGGGCAGGAGTTGAGGAAAGAAAGAAACTACTATTCACACAATAAATTGAAAAGAAAATATTTTCGTAAAATATTCATAATAAAAATTCAATCTTTCTAGTCACGACATCACATCAACAATGTTGATTTTAGAAAGTGGATGAAAGGAACCTCATACCTAGTAATACAACAACAGAAAAATTAAGAGTTAAGTCCATAATCAAGCTATGACTAAAAGTGAGACGAAGCTGAGAACATAGTAATCACAAAATTAAGGAGATATAAGACGCAAAGAACAGGACCAGATCTAATATGAATAACTTCAGACAACCCTACAAAACCCAACCAAGAAATATGCACCGACTCACAATAAACAAAACTGTGACAGCAAAAGAGTCATCAAAGCAAATCAAAGCAAAATCCGGTCTTCACACTACAAGCAAGAACATGTAAACTAAATCACATGAAAAAGCCTACCCTTCCCAGAATCCTTCACACAAAATTAAAACTACAAGAAAACAGAGAAAATTCAGAAGACCCATCCATCGAGATCCAAACTTCATCCCTAACACCAAAAAGCCACAAAGCCCGCACTGAAGAGGGGAAATGGGAAATACTTACAAAGCAATCATCGTCAATGGTGTAGATGTACTTCTTCTTAGACACCATGTAGCCGAAGCAACGGCAGGCAGAGTCCTTGAATGAAATGCATGAGGCCTTAGGACCCAGAATCCTGTTAATGTCATTGCGGTTGTAGAGCTCGTAATCGAAACCCTCTGGAACCTTGATCGTCTTGGAGGGATCACCATCTTGGACGATGATGAGATGGTAAGGCTGGAAGAAGGGCCTCCACATCTCGAGAAAATCGAGGTTCCGGATGGTGGGTATCACGATATCGAGCTCATCCTTCAACAGTGGAGTGGGTGCCGGAGCTTGTGCCATTGGAGAGGGAGAGGAGAGGTGAGGGGGGATCCGATCCGAACTTCCAAAGCAGCAAAAAGCAGAGAGTAGTAGAAACGGAAGAGGGAACAGAGAGAATTTCAACGAGAGGAGAACGCGCAATGCAGAATTATTTAAAGCTCGCTCTCTCTCTCTCTCTGTCAAAAGTCTCTAGTCTCAACAAACGGAGGAGAGAGGTAGCACGTGCGAGGAGGCGTGGTTGGCACGAGCGGAGCGTCGACGTGGGCCGTGCCGTGGGCGAGCAATGGTGGTGGGCAGTGGGCTACAGGGGGGCTAGGGCGACTCGTTCAAAGTCGCCGGTGTTTTTGGACCTTTGTGTGGAATCAGACCAAAACAAACAACGCTGAGTAATTATAGTCTATAGACAGGAGGAATGTTTCCATGCATCTACCATCCATATATTATTTATTAATCATCCGGATTCATCACCGTACACGTGTCCAGGAAGAAAGGTGTGATCGATAGACTCGTAGGTATTTTGAGAAATTTGAGACTGGGTCAACTCACTTAGATTTGGTAAGGAGATTAGGAAGAAACCATATTGGAGAGTGGAGACTGGGAGAGGAAGAGAGAGGGAGAAAATTGATTGAGACGCGGTGGAGGAGGAAGCGGAGATAAATCCGGGAAAGAAAGAAAAACAAGTGAGGAATTAGAAATCATTACGTGCACTGCGAGTTTGGGATTTTGTCTGAAAATTTGACCAATACAGTAACAGGGTAGAGTAGATCTAGCAACTCAAACAACCTCAAAAGATTATTATGACCGTCCAAACCACCTGATCTATCAAGTATGGATGCAAACGGATCGGAATTCACGATATATGCAAATCCGATCCGATAATATAAAACTCATATTCTATTCCGATTAGATATAAAAAAAAAAAGGTCTCGAATCCGTTAAAAAAGATATCCAAATTTGATCCGATTCGAGTTATTTTTTATAAAATTTAACAAAAGAAAGAAAAACATAACAATCTATACAAAGAAAAACAAAAAAATACAACCATTTTCAATTATTTTTATAATATATATACATGTTTTCATAAAAAAATAATCAATATACAAAAATTAAAAATATAAATATATTAATAAATAATATATATATATATATACACATAATTAATATATACTAGATCAAATAGGAGGTGATCCAATTTTTTAATTGAATCCGATCCGATCTAAATCCGACAAAATATGATAATATTTGATTTTGGATTGAATCGTGATCTGATCCATTCACCCCTACTCTCAACACCCTTTATTATAATTTATAGCAAAATAAAAACTTGACATTAATAGGTCTAGGCCAATGTTCATGTTTAGGGTTGGTTCTTTAATCTAAATCTAGGCAAAGGCTTATTTAAGGGAGTTAAAAAGGAGTTGAGAGAGTTTTAAGAGGAAAGGATGGATATAATGAGGAGGGAAGATGTTATAAAATTGATCCTTAACTTTCACTGTGTCTTCTTGTAACACTCATCAAGGTTTTTGGTGATGTGGAATGATATTTTCTTGAGACTTTAAAAAAAGGGTTTGTTTGGCTTGCAGCTAAGATCGAATTGGAATTGGAATAAGAATCTCTTTGAATCAGAATCAGAATTGCTTATTCATAGCACTTGTTTGGTTTATTTGGAGTCAGAATTGGAATCAACCAAAATTTTTAAATTTATATTAGTTTATTAATATTTTTATTATTTTTTAGAAATTTATTATGAATATTTTATTACACATTTATTATTTTAATCTATTTTATTTTTTATTAATTTATATTATTATGATTATTTAATAATTAATATGTTTTTATTAATATTTTATTATAATAATATTATTTTATTGCTATTTTACTTATATTTTATTATTTTATTAATATTAGGATTTATGGTTATTTTTGTCAAGAGTTTTTTTTTTACTTGTTGACAGACTCTAGAGCACAAATCCCATTCCACCAAAAATGATAATCAAAATTCCATTCTCACCGTATAAACGGTTGGAATCGGAATACCTTAGAGCGTGAATCCCATTCGACCAAGAATGAGAATCAAAATTCCATTCTCGCCAAATAAATGATTGGAATCGGTATGGGCCATTTCGGTTCCAAGTCCCTATTCTAGGAGACCAAATGGACACAAAACTATTGTCAAAAAACCATTCAGTCTAAAATCTTAAACTATTAGTTTTTATTCTCTAGCATGTCCCCTTACATGGAAATCTATCAAGCTTGAAGCATGGATAAATACAAAGCCAATTGAACACTAAATCACTTGGTCAAACAAACTGTGATAATATGTCTAGTACTTAAAAGATTATGTTGTTTGATGAGGTCTTTAAATAGGTTTTTATTCTCTAATAATGATAGTGGATTTTATTAAAGAAAATTAAAGCTTGAGAGCATTTTTATTCTAACTTTCTATGCTTTTAATAAGTTTTTTAATAGGAAAAGAAAAAGAGGATTTTATATATTTTTAATAAATTAATTTAAAAATAATAACCACAAATGTGAATGATGATACAAAAAGGAAGGTTTTTATGAGCATTGAGGTGAGAGGACTCTTGCCTCCCTCTTTCCTCTATAAAGGACATTAATTTTTTAGTTACATTAAGTTCATATTTCATGTTGAGCTGGGGAAACCAGAGACTTTTATGCATTACTCCCATTATTTAATAATATGAGTAACCAGCTTATTAATTCCACCAGAATTTATAACTAATATTTTATTCTCAAAGCAAATACGTACTACATTAATATTAAATTATTAATATAGCAATTAATTGTTCTTATAAATTTGTGTTATACATGTTTTTTTCCTCAGTCTTCTATTACACCTAAATCTTTTATAAATTATTATAATGGATGTCTACAATTTCGATTATAAAATAAAAATTATAAAGCCCTCCATGTGCCTTGCATGTGAAGACCTTAACTACTGATCTAAATAAAAATATATCGTTAAACATTAGAATAACCATTTTACCCTTTATTACTTTATATATAGAAAAGAAAGAAACGCTCAACCTTTCAAAGATAAGCTGTTCTCCAACATTTCGTAGTGTTTGGTTTCCCTTCATTCCATCCACTTTGTCCTTTCAAACAACGCTATTTTCTGGCCAAGTAGATCAAATTAAGGTCATGTTTGGGAGTGCTTAAAAATAAGTGTTTATTTAAAATAAGTGCTTATGTGGGACATTAATTACTTATTGGTATTTGGGAAATAAAGCCGAAATAAGTGTTTATTATAAAAATAAGGGCTTATTTTTTAAGTCTAAATTTCCAGCTTTTTTTAAGTGCTTATTGTATAAACACTTATTCAATTTTTTCTTCAAAAATTATCCCTAGTTGAATTTTAAAATACCACTTATAAAATTATTTCTAGTTGAATTTTATAAAAATATTTTTATGAAAGCACTCTTATAAAAGTATTTTTATGAAATCACTTTTAAGAAAGTATTTTAATGAAATCACTTTTAAGAAAGTATTTTAATGAAAACACTTTTACGAGAGCACTTTAATGAAAGTAGTTTTACAAAAGAACTTTTATGAAAGCACTTTTACCAAAGTATTTTTACAAAAGTACTTTTGTGAACGCTTTTATAAAAGTACTTTAACGAAATCACATTTTCGTAAAAGTACTTTCGCAAAAATACTTTCTTAAAAGTGCTTTCAAAGGGTATATTTTCAAAATTTAAAAGAAAATGAAGGGCAAAATAGTCATAAATGCTTCTTTAAGTGCTTATTAGAGAAAAAGACTACCCAAATGCTCAATATAAAAAAAAAAAAAGTGCTTAGTTTAGAAAATAAGCACTTGAGAAGTTGGTGCCAGATGCAAATTAAATAAATGCTTATTTGAATAAACACTTATTTTTAACTTAAATACTCCCAAACATGGCCTAAAACTGATGTTGATGATGCATAATCCACAGTAATGTTTTTAAAAATGGACTCAAAATCGCTTTGGCCACCGATTTTCTGAGTCAACAGTTCAATTGAATCGGTCCAAATTAATGGATCAGGTCATGTTATTTTAAAAGATAAAAAATCGTTAAGATAATATTGGCCAAACAAACCATTCTAAATGAATGAATTGGCAAATTAAGCGCCCAAATGACTGGACCAATTCAGTGGTTTTTGGAAAAATAATGATTTGAGATCGACTGGATCAGAATCGGTACTCTGACGGTTTTCAGGCTAAATGGTCCAACCATGTGGCTCAACACCGGTTTTAAAACCTTGATTCACCAGAAAAAAAACTAATAATATATAATAGTATTTTCACCAACTTAAAAGAAATTAACCATAAAGTTGATGAGCATTAAGCATCACTTATTTGCTGAAAACAGACGGATCACAAACTTTTAATTTTCGTGGCTTAATAGAATACGATTTTAAAAGGTGGTCAGGTAAAGGTCACAACTCACAACTAGTTGCTGTTTTCGGGTTCCAGAATAGACATTGTTTAGTAATAGTAGTTGATCATTTGAATTTTGATATGCACTTGCCAAAGCAGTTAATTAATCACTTTTTAGAAGAATTTCACAGATTAGTAGACAAACGTACGTACGTAGAACATTTGGGAATTTCTCCCCTTTTGAATGCTGTAACCCTAACTATTAATAAATTCTGACATTCCAAATTATGAATTAGTCACTGCAAATAATGTATAATGTTGTTTCTAGCAAATTGCAAAAAGGTTGACCCACCTAAATTTTCTCTTTCTTTTCGTCCTGCCTACACTACTTACTTACTAGATGGATCATGGAGGTCGATATTTGGGGCTTTCTTCTATTATATATCTAAGTCTTGGATAAAGTTCATATAATAAATTCCAGCAAATGAATGGTCCAAGTTGATAGATTGGTGAATGATTATGATTTGTATTGTATGTTGTGCATATGCGACTGATGATCGATGTTGCTGTTCAGTCTCAATAGCATGTAAATGGAGGTATGGCATCGTTTTTTAATTATAATATATGGCTTTATCATTCGTTGACATAGCAACCAACAACCAGATAGCCTCATCTCATCATGGAATGAGTTTTTTTATTCATTTTTGCATTAATAATTTAACAATATATATGACATTATATAGAACGGATTCATATGACCGATCCT